CTCTCAGTTACATTGCCTTTGCTGAATCCCTACCAGGCCTCTCACACCCTCTTTGCCACTAGTTTTAGGTCACTTGTTGCTCCCTTGTCCCTGGGTTGGTCAACACCACCTCCTTTCCCCCTCCTCCCCCTCTCCCGTGTCCCCCTGGAACCATTGGTCTTGTTGTTTTCTCCTCCAGACTGTTCATCCAGCCAACCTTATCTAGATAGATCTGCAGAGATAATAATACACACCAGAAAACAAGACATAGCAAGACAAAGTGGCAAAAGAGAACACAATGATTACAACAAAAAAGAAAACCAATGACCAAGAAAAGAATAAATTAATAAAAAGAAAGAAAAACCTGTAAATAGATTAAGGTTTGATTTTTGACCTCTAGGCGTGTCCTCCAGTCATGTCTGATGGGGTGCCATGCTCTGACCTCAAAGTCTGTCCTTTGCACTCCCTCAGGAGCTCCCTGCTCTGCTCCCACCCCTGCCCCTGTTGCTCTGCCTCACACTTTTAGTGTTTAACCTCAGTATGGTGGGGTCAGATGGGACCAATCCTGACACCGAGTCTCCAGTGTTGTCCCCTGTAGGGCCATGTGTCAGGGAGGAACATCGTGTCTCATAGTGGGATTAGCCATATGGTCCACTCTGTGTATTGGCTGTTCAGAGTGGGGATATTGTCCTCCAGGCCTGGTGGGCCAGGATGTGCTCCACTCTCTCTTCCTCCCCATTCATTTGCTCCCATGTGCTCTGATCAGACATGTCCCTCTCCCCAAGTTGCTGCTTCAGTGCCGTCCTCTAAAGTAAATTCTTCTGGGGGAAGAGGGTTTTTTCCCCCTCTTTTATAAATTGAAGGGAACTTTTCCTTGAACTTGAATTCTAGTTAAAATTAGGATTATAATTGAGATTTCATAAAACCCTTCAATGCAAATTTATAAACAGATAGATACAGAAAGTTGCCCTTGAGTTAATTCTGTCTTCAAGATCATCCCTGCAGCCACTGTGCCAATCCAGCTCATTGAGTTTCTCTCTCTCCCTAGCTGGCCCTCTACCAAAAATTATATCCTCCCCCAGTGATTAATTCCTCCTGATGATGTATCTAAAGGAAGCACATTGGACAGTTTTCTGCTGTGATTCATAGGATTTTTGCTGGTTCATTTTCAGAAGTAGTTCACCAGGTCTTTCTTCTTAGTCTATTAAACTGGAAACTGCTAAAACCTGTCCATCTTCGGTGATCCTGCTGGCATTTGAAATACTGGTAGCATATGCTTGAAATACTTCCATCAACACACTAGCCACTACACTATGGAAAGCTGACATAAGTGGTAAAATTGGGAAAGAAGAATATATATATATATATAATGACATATGTATTGGCTCCCAAATTACAGAAACATTTTTAAAAGAAAAAAATGCATAGACCCAGGAATGGATTTTGCATGAAATCCTAGCTCCAACTTAAGAACAATTGGTTCTTACATCATGGCCGTGCTACATACTCACCTTCAAGAAGTGATCCCTGCAGATAGGAGTGCTACAGCAAAGTGTGGTAAAGAGAGTAGATGGTGTCCGGCTATCAAGTGAAATAGTGCCTGGGGTCTTAAAGACTTGGATTCAAACAAGCAGCCATCTAAGTGAGGAGTCAACTAAGTCCACAAGGAAAACGCACACCAGCTTGTGTGATCCAGAGATGACAATTAAAAATTCAAGTATGGTGAGGAGAGAAGCATCAGAGCAAAAATTATACACACCTGGTTTGTGGAGGACTATCAGGGATGGTGGGAGCCCCAAACCCATCTGCAGGTATCTGGTCAGAGAGAGCCACTGGCAGATCTGCTCTCGCCACAGGCAAGAGTCTCAAACAGCCTTACTACCCGACAGAGACCATTGTCATCTTGATCATGCTGGATCCCTTGGCCAGCTGACCACTCTATAGATGGGACCTGAAGAAGTTCTGTTTCCATCACGGAAATTTTTCCCCTGGCTTTTTGAATGTTGTTGGGGGTCTGTCCCTTTTTACACTTTATTTGTATCTTTGTCTGTATACTATTATGCTTTTATCCGAACCACCTTAGTACAATTTTGGTTTTTTATTTTCTCTGTTCTACCTTGTCTGATAGGGTCACTATGAGTCAGAATTGACTTAATGGTAGTGAGTCCCAGGTTGGTAAGGAGAAAATGGAAAAAAATGTCAAGTACTTGTTTGGGGAATCTTTATGTCCCTCTAATTCACCTACCAATGTCCACAACTTTGCAAATGTGGATGCAGAGAAAACTAATTTTTATGATTGATCCATTTATATACCTGAAAATTAACTTTCATGTTTTCTGTAATTTTTAAAATGTATTAATATTTTTTACACATGAAGACTGAAGCATAAGGAATCACATGTATTTAGCATGATGGGGCATATTCTTATGTAAACTATTTCTATGTTTAACATTTATTTAATCAGCAAACACTTATTGACTAGCTATTATTTT